GTTGTGCCATAGATAGAGGCTGTCCGTTCCCTGCCCTCAGCCTGGCGCATGTCCCTTGAGGAGGGGGGCTTGTGGGGCGGGGCGGGCGGGGAAACAGCGGCTTCTGCGTCCTTCGGTTCCAGCTGCCTGCTCTAGTTTTGAGGTAGGGAGGGACCCCCGGCTTCTGCTTCCTCCGCCAGCCCCACATCGACCCTGGTTTTAATCTCTGGCAAGCACATTTTGGAGGACTTGTTAGGAGGCGAAGTGAGCAAAGTAACGGTCGGTGGCTAGAACGAGAGGGTGACCTGCCTCGGGAGCTGCATCTCTAAATCAGTTTTCTCGACAGCCCAGCAGAGCAGTGCCCATCCCTTGCCTTGACCCCTGGAAGCGGAGGAAGGTTTTGGAACAGAGCCCGGTTTACAGGTCCTTGGCGGGAAGAGGCTGGATAAAATACTACCTTGTAAGCAATATGACAAACTGTACTCCTTCTTGCGGACAGGTGTGCCTATGGCACCGCTTCCATTCTGTTGCCCTTTTGGTTTTAATTTCTCCCCACATTGTTGACTGATCTACAGAAAAGCCCAGATCTCTCTCTCTGGCCAGGGAGCTGGTGCATCTGCCCAGGTTGGTTCTCCTGGCGCTGGGGGGCGGGCCAGGCCAGGCCCTTCGCTGTCGAGGCAGGGGGAAACGGAGGCAGGGCTGCAAAATCAAGGCCAGATGCCCCACGGCCAAAGCCAAAACGCTCCACGGCGCTTTCCCAGCCCTGGTCTGGGATTTGCTTCTAATTGCTCCGATCGATGGAGGAAAATTGGCAACCTGCTCTCAAATTGGCAGCCGCTCAGCACAGTCACTGGAGAAAATACTGGGGTAGAAGCTGTCTACATACAAGTTGTCAGCCATTTTTCTGTGGTCATGAACAATTTCCCCCCTAAAATACTATCCTGTGTGCAATTTTTTTTGCCATCTGTTGCCTCTCATTACCACCCCATGACTAAAAATTGCTCACATAACATTTCATTCTCCCCTTCCCTGCGCAAGTCCAAAACAAATGCAAAACTGGCTGCTCTCCAACAACTCCTGCATTTTGTTCTGGGTTTGGTTGCATCGGTTTACCTCCCCCTGCCCCGCCCCGCCCCGGGTGGTGTGCTGAGGGGAGGCAAGGTTGCAGCTGGCGGCCTCGCGTCCATTTCCCTGCCGGGGGACGAAGGGGCAGCAGCACGGCTTCTTCCAGGACTGCCCACTGACTCCCTTTTCTTTGGCATTCAGGGCCGTGGGCAGCTGCAGCGCCTTGGCCTGGACCGCCTCCTGACCACGCCAGTGGGCTTTGCTGAGTTCCCAGGCACCTCCCAAACGCTCAGCCTACCAGGTTCAGTCGCGTAGCTTGCGCGTGCCAATTCCCGCTAGGCCAGAGGGAGGCCGGGCCGGGCCTGCCGGTGTGTGTTCCGACAGCCTTTCACGGCGACTTGACTGGAGTAGTAAAACCCCTCAAGTGGGGGAGATGAGGATAGTTTCAAATTGTGGGGGCAGCTGTGCCCCCATTTAAGCTTACGCTGAGCACAGGAGCCTCCTTCCCAACTGCACCCCAGCCTCCAGTGGGTGGAAATTGGGACCCCGAGAGGCTCTTTTCCGTGAACTTCTCCATAGGAAATGAAAACTTAACATCTCTCTGAGCCCCCAGTGACTACAGTTTGTTCTGTTGCTTACAGCTCCGGAGGAAGATGCAGCCAGTAGCTGATGGCAGCAAGCACAAAATAGGCTAGGTTATTTTTTCCCCTTCAAGTTGTTGTTCTATCGTTCTCTGTATAGCTTGAGATCCTCACTTTTCCCTGAGTGCTTTGGAAAAGAGGATGCGGTGCTTCTGTTCTGCCTTTTGGTGGGGGAGCAGCACAGGCCCTTTCTGTGTGACGCTGGCTGGGGCCTGAGTGCTGCAGGAGGGGGCCGTTGGTTGGTGTCTGAATCTTCTTCTGGAGATGGAGGAGGATGGTAGGGGTCCCATTTGGTGGAGGGGGTGCTCGGGAAGCCTGGGGGCCGCGTGGAGCCGCTCCGGCTGTTCCTTCTGCTCCAAGTCCTCCGGGGAAGAGGCAGTAGCCTGGCAGGTGCTTTCTTCCCCTGTTGTCTGCTGGCGCTGGCTTGCGCGTTGTGTGTTGGTAAATTCATCTTTGGTCTCCTCGATGGCTTTCTTGCTTTCCGTAGGATTTTGGCAGATGAATTACAGTCGTAGTTTTTTTTACTTGCACACGCTGGTGAGAGAACAGGAAATCATCTTTCTCTGATCATCCTGTGCGCAGCTGCTCTGAATTTATGTGAAGTATTTGTACCCCACTTGTCAGCCAGAGAGGCTCCCAGGGCAACTTGCAGAACAATGGGAAGAGGCAGTCTGTATGCAATCAAAACGACATGGCACAGAAAGAAAAAGGGGTTGAGGAGGGAGAAGGAAACCTTAACTGTCAGCTACCTGCTCTTCCTGGCGCTTTTCACCGCCCGCAGTTCTGCCGAGGTCTGCCAGAGAGGCTCCTTTGGCTAACAGGTGGCGCTGCCAGCTTCCTGGCGCTCTTGGGGTGAACGGCAGCTGGGGACAGTTGGCAGGGAGGCCGAGCCTGTTGAAGCTGAAGCTGCGGGCAGAGTGCTGGGCCCGTCCCCATTTCCCCGGTGCTGGCTCCTCCTTCGGCTCCCACGGGCTGCTCTGCCTCCGGCCCCCCCATCCACCCCCTTGGGGAAAACTCAGCCTGACTCGCCCCCCTCCCCCTCCCCCACGCACTAGAGAGGTGCGCCTTCCCCAGGGCTCACCCCTCTCTCTGGGGAGCGGTTCCCTGTCTCGGCCGCAGGGCTAACCTGGGGGGTCGCCATGCCCGTCTGTCCGTGTGCTGCAGCTGTGCTTTGTGTAGTGCTGTTTATTTCCTCATCTCTCCTTTATGCACCCCCCCCGTGGGTTTCATTTGCATATAGTGTGACATTTTTGCCTTTTGTCGTGTTTCTGACTCTCTGTGCCTTTCCTTTTTGTGTTTTTGTTTCTCCCGCTTCTCCTCAGTTTGCAGCGGGGCCTCGACCTGCCCACCACCAGGTACAGTACCCTCCTTGCCCCTTCTTCCCCCCTCTCCTGCCGACTGGTTGGGGCATGTGGGAGGTGGTCTGCCTGGCTGGCCGCCCTTCTGCTCACTCTCACGGATGCTCTTCGGCACGCGCGGCTCCGGCCAGAAGGCCCCTGGAGCTCACAGCTCAGGGAGGCTCAGCCTTCTAACAGCTACTAATTCTGCCGCTTTCCTCGACAACCCCTCTAACAGTCCTCCTGAGCATATCTGACTGCCACCTTTGCTGAATATGGTAGTCTTTGGATTGGTGACGCTTACTAGAACTTCGGAGGGGGGGGGGTGGCCGTTCTCCCTCAGGCCTGGGGAGTGGGAGGAATGACCCACACCCGTGACCACCTCACGGCCAGCCGCCCTGGTGTTAATCTCATCGCTTCTGTAAGATCAGGATGTATCAATCCCTGGGGACGAGGGGTGGCTCTCACGGAGAAGTCGCTGCAGGTGCTGCTGAGTCGCAGTTAGGAAACCAGCCTCCGGTCTCGCAGAGCTGAGATCGGCAGCCTTTTCAGATGGGGCGGGGGTGCCCAAAGCAGTGAAAACCTGATAGCTCTCACGTGATGTTAACGTTCTGGCCTGAACCGAGCTTCTGCGAGTCTCGTGCAAGAACTCTAAAAAGTGACGGAGACCTGGTATGGTTTGGGTTAGGTTGTGTTTTTCAACTCAGTGGTTAAGATTGGGGTTCCCCGGATGCCGCCAAGGAGCGCCAGGGTCGCTGCATTGCTGAATTCCTTAAATCACCTGGAGGACAGAGACAATCCGGAGGTGCTACCCTTTTTCTTCTGCCTCCCCCTTTCTTTCCTCCTCCCCTGTGGCCCCCGTTTCTGTCTCGTAGAGGGCTAGGAAAGGGGTAGGTTGGCCGGTTGCCTGTTGAACGTGGAAGGGGCTTCACAGCATGGAGCCACCTAGGCTGAGCCCGGTGTTGGTGGAGAGTCCAGGATCTGGACCACTAGGGAAGGCTGCCGTCCGACTGCCGAGGGTTCTTTGCCGGGACCATAAACGGCAGGCAGCATCTGACGGGCTGTGTGTTGCATTTCTCTTTATGCGCTTGATTTGTTATATTTAGGGTTGCTGTGCAAAAAGTTGTAACACACCTTTTGATCTTCACGCACATGATGAAATAAAAATGCAGGACCCAGAATGGGACATTAGCTGAAAGTGGATAGCGAGTTGAAGTTCAGAACCCGTGTTACGTGTGTCCTGCTCTTCGGGGGTTGTGGGGGTGGGGAGGGGCCTCCTGCCAAGGGCAGATTAACATACAGGCCATAATGGAAGGTCCTCAGTTGCTGCTGCCTGTCTTGACCGCATCACAAGATCTCCAGGCCGCGGCCAGTCGCTGTGAGGCCAAAGCAGTGACTTTGAGGCAGTGACGTCACCAGACAAATGCTGCCGTTACCTATTTGCGTCCTGACATCTGATGCAAGTGCAGACACTCTGGCCTTTGCGTGATGATCTTGTCAGACATGCTTTGTCATTTGCCCCCCAAATGCCCGTATCTCTAGCTTGGTTTGATGGGTGCTGGCTGAACTGTTTGGAGGGAACAGCTTGCCCCCGGTCTCGCAGCCGTCCTGGGGCGTGTTGCCTTTCCGTGCTCCTGGGCTTCACCTCTGGTGGCGCCTGCTGTGATTTTTGTGCTGAGCCAGTTTCATCTGCAAATCCCTCATAGGCAGCTAGCATGAGCATTTGCACATAGAGGTGCAACATGAAGCTGATGAGAAGCAACTGCATATTCCTTCTGGGGTTGGGGGGAAGAATGGCACGTTACTGGTGACAAAAGAGGGGACGCTTTGAAACCCATTGCAGTTTCCGCGCAGGCTGAGAGCAGGCGGCTACTTGCCCAGCGAAGCAGCTTCGACCTCTGCCAGATGCAGGAATCTGCTTCGGCTCTCAGTTCGCTTGAGCCCTGGCCGTTCTGTTCTTTCGGCCGCTTTATTGGTGAGCTGCTGAGCGGATGCTTGACCTTACGTCCAAGAGAACGCCGCCTCCTCGTGGAGGATGCTGGCCCGACCTTCCAGAGTGATCTCGTCACGTTGCGGAGAGCGAGGAGGGCTTTTGCGGAGGTGCACGAGAATAATTTTCCTCTCCTGTTCTTCCCCCACTTAGTAGGACCTGCAGGTCTGGGATGCTAGGTTAGGGAAGGAGGGGGCGGGCAGAGAGCGTCTTTCTGGTCCTGTGGATTCCTGGAGCCAGGAGGAGAGGCTTGGAGCTAGAACTCAACTAGTCCTCCTCCCAGGATGGGGGAGATGAGCAGACAAAAAGGCCTCATCAGTGATTTTCTGACAGCGGCAGAAAGTGCTTCTCTGTTTTCTGTAGACCAGAGCGAAGCTTTCTAGGTGCAGCCAGATGCCCAGCCTGTTGCACATGTGCCTTTTAAGGAGGTTGCTGCTGTTGCTCCTCCGGGAACAAAGCAGAGTTAGAGAGTCGTGCGCAGGCAGCTCAGTCAGGGAGGCGTCCTCAGTGCCGTGGAGGCAAGCTGGCCGGGCAGAGTGGCCCAGGGTCCTCCATTGCATGCTGGCCCCCTCCCTCCCCTCTCGACGGTTGACCTGTCAGCTGTTCCACCGGCTTTCTTTTTATTTCCTGCTGCTTCCTTGCTTCGTTCTTGAAGGGAGGATTCAGACCGATCCAGGTAACTTTAACTACTGGCTCTGCATGGCCCAACTGTCTCTTGATCACCCCTCATTAACGGTTGGATGTTTGAATGCTTGACCCTCCATTCTGCACTCTGCACATAAGATCGAGAGTCTGAAACGTCAGAAGTGCCACCTTGTGGTGCCAGAGCTCTTTGCCCTCCAGTTGATTGTTTTGAGAGGGAGGAGGGCGAGGAATCATTTAGAACCAGAACAAGGGTTGCCACCTGTTGTTTTAAAAAGGACCAGCGCTCCATCAAGGTAGCTACAGAGAAGGCCCCAGCTATATCCTGCCTCTGTTTGCAGCCTCCTTTCTGCCCCTCGCTCTGGGAGCAGGACTTTCCAGGCATCGAGACAGTGAAGCCTAAGCCGGGCCTTTGTCCCGCTGCTGCAGAGACGTGGGGCTTCTTGAGAAAGGCTGCCTAGCTTTCGGTCAGGGGCCCGGTGAGCCTTCCTGGTGCCGACGATCTGCTAAACCACTGGGCCCCTTGCTTCCCCCCCCCCAGTTTTTCCAGAGGCCTCAAATACAGCCGCCTCGAGCTGCCATCCAGAACAGCAGCCCTTCCATCCGCCCAGGCGCACAAACACCCACGGCCGTCTATCAGACCAATCAGCACATCATGATGGTCAACCACCTCCCCATGCCCTACCCGATGCCTCAGGGCCCCCAGTACTGTATTCCACAGGTAAGGTTGTGGCCACCTCCCTTGCTGCTGTTCCCGGGGGAGGAAGGGCTGTGGAAAGCCCTCCCTGGGAAACTGATCCAAGAAAAGAACTCTCCTCCCTCCCTGCCCGGGTTATTCTCCAGAAGGTCCATTCTTAAGCTTTGGCTGAGAAGCCCTGGGAACCCCCCCTCCTTGGAAAAGTGGTGGCAGTTGCCCCAGATGAGTTGGCCTGGCTTGCCCCACAAGCCCTCGGCGCCGCTACGAGTGAGGGGGCTGAGTGTTCATGGATGCTTCTGGAGAGAGAGTAGGGATGGAGGTGCAGAAGGGGCAGGATGGCAGAGCTGGCCCTCTGGCTAGCTGGGCCTGGCTGGTGGGATGCCTGCCTTCCCTCCTTTAGGCGGTTGTCGTTTTCCCAGGGGACAGCCGGAGCCCTGCCTCGTATTCATCTGAGAGAGCAGGCACTTCTCCTTTCTGACAGATGGGTTTCCCTGTGGCGTCCTAATGCCTAATATAATTCCTTCCACAGTATCGGCACAGCGGCCCTCCTTACGTGGGGCCCCCACAACAGTATCCTGTTCAGCCCCCAGGGCCTGGTCCGTTTTATCCAGGACCGGGGCCTGGAGAATTCCCCAATGCCTACGGTAAGATTTTCCTCGGTAAGATAGACTGTTTCCGGGCACTTTCTCCTGGGGCATCTGCCTGGCCTCTGTGGGCTGGGGTTCCCAGACAGACACCCCAGAGCTCTTGCAGGGCTGTCTGAAGGGCTCCCAAATTCCAACTGTAGCACAACCCAGGCAGCTCAGCTCTCGTGGCCCACACAGTGGAAACTGGCCGCAGTGACTGACTGACCTCGTGCGGCCAGCCCCAGCCAGCCAGGCTCTTTTGCTTCCCTTGCTGCAGGAGCCCCTTTCTATCCGAGTCAGCCAGTGTATCAGTCAACGCCCATCATAGTGCCTACCCCACAACAACAGCCGCTCCCGCCCACCAAGCGGGAGAAGAAGACGGTAAGAGGTCTCTGGGGGGGCTTTGAAAGGGAGATGCTCAGGCTGGAGTGGTTGATCTCTGGGATGGACCTGAGGGGTCAGCATTGAACGGGGCAGAACCTGGGCGTTTTCAAAAGCACAGGAAACACGTTGGATAGCACGGAGAACAGCAGGATGTTTAGCTCTCCTTTGGCCCCAAGAGAGCATCTAAGGCCAGCTTGGCATGATCTCTGCTGCCCGTGCGTATGACAGCACTGCACGGGGTCCAGTTTGGCCTCTTTGTGGGAAGATCCGAGCTAGAGAGGGTTCAGCGGCTTCCTTATCTTTTTTCCCAGATCCGCATCCGGGATCCGAATCAAGGGGGCAAAGACATAACAGAAGAAATTATGTCTGGCGGAGGGAGCAGGAACCCCACGCCTCCTGCTGTCCGGCCCACCTCTACCCCTACACCTCCCCAGGTAACCGGCACCGTGGTTCATTCTCTCCCTCTGCGGTTCCCCAGAGCAATCCGGGTTGCAAATATGCCTGTGGAATGTGTGTGTAACATTGCGGTAGCTGCTCCTGTGCCTCTGCTTTCCTAAAGAGAGAGAGGGCCCTGATTCGTTTTTTATCCACCGGAAAGACTTGCAGCCTGTCTTCTGTGCCGTTGTGGGTGTGGCATTATTTAAACCATCTGTGCATGTCTGCACCTGGGAAGCCTCCCGGGGGCTCTCGATCTCCAGGGGAACAGTCCTGCCCTCCTCGCTCCCCCCAGCTCATAGCTAGAGTGAAATACCAGAGACGCCACAGTGCTCAGCTGCAGGAATCTTGCAGCAGTCAGCTGTCAGTGCTCCTGCAGTGGCCGCAATATCTGTTGCGGGCAGCGCCGTCTCCCCCATCCTGCTTGCTGGCTTCCCGTCAGCACCCAGTGGGTCAGCTGGAACTGCTCTTAGAATCTTTCCAGCGTTTCAAAGAAAAGCTTCCGCTAACGGAAGGCAGAGAAACCCGGCTTGCTTTGTCCGTGAAAAGCATTGGCAGGCTCTTCTCTGAACCCAACGGAGAGGCACGCTGGGTGAGCTTCCAGCAGGAGGGAGGCCCCGATCCAAGGGGCCCTGCCAGGGTCTCTTTTGCGGCTCGCCTGGCGTTCGCCTTCGGTGTTCAGAACGTGCCAGAATCTTGTGGAGGTCATTGGGGGTGCCAGTTTGTGTAACCTTCTCCACAGCTTTCTTTCTGACGGTGCTCTTTCAGATAAATTGGCCCTCCAGTTGAACTCTGTGAGACTTAGAAGGACAGAGGGCTGAGGGGTGTTCCCGGGGTTTCCCTGGCTCGGGTGGGGGGGGGAACGAGACGTGCTGAAAGCTGTGCTGTGCTGTGGTCTTTAGCTGCTCCCGATAATAATGGTCTTTCTCTTCTCACCTTTTTTCTGCTGCTTTCCTCCGCCCCCCCCACGTACTTTTTTCCATGTGTTTTCTTCCTTTCTTAAAATTATTTTTCTTTTTCCCACCGGACCCTTTTCTCCCGCCTGCTCGCTTGCGTTCCACTTTGCTAGTTTTTATGTTCGCACGCTCATTATCACCCTTTTTTGTACTTCAAATCTCAGCAGCAGCTGCCCAGCCAGGTCCCCGAGCACAGCCCTGTGGCCTGCGGGACTGTGGAGAGCTCTCCCCTTCCTGCCAGCAGCCCCGTCACGGCGACTAGCGGCCCGAAGCAAGGTTGGTGGACGGACAGCTTGTCCTTGTTTGAGAGAGAGGTGGGTCTTTGCCCCCCAGGGTCTCTGGGGGCTGAGGAGAGGCTGGGCCAGCATTCGGCATGTGAGAGGGCAGGAGCGGGCTGACTGTCCCAGCCCCTGGCTGAATGGGTGACTTTCACCAAGGCTTTTGCCTCGGAGGGGTGCAGGGGTGCTGGGCTCCAATGGCCAGGACAGGGCCGCTGCCCCAGCCGTGTTTCCACCGTTCTGCCCTGGCCCCTTTTCAGCACCCAAACCCGTGGGGGAAGCCGGACCCCGTTGGCCGCTCTTGTGAGGGGTGGCCCAAGGAACTCCCCCGGGTCCTGCTGCGATCTAGCCCAGTCGCTCTCAGATGCGTAGTCCTGCTGAGCTGTCCCCGGGCCTGTTTTGTAGGGGGGCCTGGCAGCCTGGGGCTCTCTGGCCAGGAAATCTACTTTCCTGCACCTCCTTCCTGGGGTGAGGAGGGTCCCCAAGCCGGCAGCTCTGCGTTTTGTTCTCCGTTGGCCATCTTGGGGGAGCAGGGAGACAGTTGGATTCTTGTATACAGGCATCTAGGGTTGGTCCTCTTTGACTCTTGGTTTGGTCCGTATTTTATGTTTATTTGGGTTTGCCATTAATACTGTATATCCTGCACATACACTAAATTTTCCTTGTAGACGAAGGGTGGCTTATATATTTTAAATGCAGTAAGAAGATCAGATAACGTAGAGATTGCTTCCTGCTGCCTTCCCCACCAGGACCATTTCCTCACAGTGTCGTTTGACTGCCCCGCCCTTTCTCTCACCTCCTGACTGTTGGATTAACCTTCCCTTGCATAGCACTTCTTTTCCAGTTTGTCTTTCAAACCAGGTGGCAAATCCTGGTTCAGAAAGATTGGCTTGTCGGCTGACTGTCAAAGTCTAAAGGGAAACCAGAGCTTAGACAGCCCCCCCTCAGCCCTGGGTCGGGGCCTCCCTCTTTGCCCAGGCTGCCGAAGGGCCTCAATCCCGCCCCGCTGCTCCTTGGGGAGCAAAACCTCTTTGGAGGGGCCTTGGCCCACCCAGAAGCAGCGGTGCTGGCAGCCGCCTCTTTCTGTGGCCTGCAGAGCTCTGCTGCTGCCCAGGCGAAGCAGCTCTCGAGTGGGCCATCCACCGCTGCCATTTCCACCTCACGGCCAAAGGATGTGGGTGGCTTGGGTTCGTTGTCTGTCCCATCGGGGAGGGGGGGCTTCAAGTTTGCCTTCCCCGTCATTTTGGGATTGAGATGATCATGAGGTGCTTCTGTGGGTTTCCCCATAAATGTGCTTGCAAAGAGGTGCACCAGTGGAGAGCTCGTTGTGCGCCTTGGAGGGAGGTGGCAAGGTCAATCTGATCTGATGGGGCTCGGCTCTTGTAATTCTGCCTTTCTCCTTTTCCCCAGAAGAGAAGCCTAAAACAGATCCAGTATTAAAATCTCCTTCCCCTGCCCTCAGACCAGAGCCTAGTGGAGAGAGGAAAGAGCAAACGGGCCTGACTGCGGAGACCCCCCCCTGCCCGGAGACCTCCTTGGAGCTTCCTGGTCCTGCTTTAGCCTCCCCACTTGCAGTCGTGGCTCCCAGCAAGTCGCCACTTGCATCTGGCTCGGAGGATGGCTGCGAACTGGCTTCCCTGCCACAGGAGGCTCCTCCGCTTCCCAGGGCTGTGCCCTGCGTGGAACTGCCCACCTGCCCCTTGACAGAGGAGGCCGACCCAGAGAGATGCCGGGAGCCCTCTAGAATAGTCCCCAACGACCTTCACGTGACTCCTAGTACTAATCTAATTAACGAACTCAATGGGGTTCCTGAAAGGGTAACTGTGAGCGACGACATCCTAGAACTTGGTGGGCCACAGGAGGCCGTGCTGCCAGCCGTGGAACTGGCGAGTCAAGAGACAGAAGTTGAAAGCGTGCCGCCTGCTGCTTCCATGGTGCTCCCTGGCTCCCCCTCACCGCCTCCAAGACCTCCCCACTCCCCCCTTCCCCTGCCTGTCACCCTTGCCCCCCATCTCCCCCCCTCTCCTCCCTGCTCGCCTTCCCCTCCTCTCCTGCCGTGCGGTGCTCTCCCTGCACTTCCGGGGGATTTGGACAGAGAGGAGACTCTCAAGCCAACTCTTAGTGAAGATGCTCCTGATGCAAAAGACGAGTTGGAGGTGGATGGCCAGCCGGAAGAGGCGGCGGCGGCGGCAGCCCCACATGACTTCCAGGGCTTGAGTGCCAAGAAAGGCCTGGGAGCAGGTAGGTGGGGCTTCCGGCCAGCTTCCCAGGCTCTGCCTTTCTCTCGCGGGCGGCTGCTGGGCCTCCTGTGGGCATGGCTGCCGGGCGCAGGAGCCGAGGGATCAGCCGCCCTAGCGTGGCGGGCTATGAGCTTTGCGGCTGCCCTGGGACCTGAAGATGGAATGCCAACTTTCTCTTCCGGAGGATGAGCTTCCTGGTGTCTCCAGCAGGGTCGGTGGGGAAGCATTGTGGTCCTGCAGAGAGACTGTGTTACGTGATTGTGCCTGGGAGTGTCTGACAAGCTGCTTTGGGCCCGTTCATCCCATTTGCGCTCATTTGCGGGTAGGATGGAGGAGCGAAATGCACCTTAACGTTGGACTCAGAATATATTTTTTTTGGAGGGTGTTTTTATCCTGCCTCTTAGGCCCCACTTTTTTCCCTATCATTTTTTTAAGCAGAGTAGATATGACTGTGGCTTACCAGCTGAGTTACAGATGCAGAAATTTCTTGCCGACCATCTGCAATCCTAAGTATATCGCTGTATTTCTGAGGAATGTGCCAGAAACTTGGCTCTTATCCAGGAGAACATCTCTTTATTTTCCGGGGCTTTCCTTTCTTGTTCGACAGTGTGTGGTGTGCTGGGTTTCTGGTAGAAGTAGAATGTTGCTTTAAGAGTTACTCATTTGAATATTGCTTGTGAAAAACTAGGTAAGATGGAACTATTTGGGATGTGAACATAATCTGGGAAAGCCACGAGGTCGTGTCTGGGAATTAGACTCGTGGCTCAAGTCAGTACCTCGTGGTTTTGGAGACTACCAGTCCGTGTATCGCTGGGTACGTCTATGTTTAGAAATGGTTTTTCATGTGTGACAATCTCATAAACTTTATGAAATGGCCCTGTTTAGCTCATCTGCTGGCTTTGTGGAATCTCTGATGTAAGTTCTTGCTGCCACAATCGCTCTTGTGAAACCAGTTACTCCAGGTGGAGCAGAGTCAGTCTTTGCGCCTCCATGGCGGCAGCTGATGGAAGGGGCAAGCGGGCTTAGGAAGCTGGCGGGCTTCTTGGGAACTTCTTGCTGGGCCCTGAAAGGCTGGGCAGGTGCGGGGGGCCACAGCGGGCCAGGCCGCCCTCCTTGCCGTTTCCAAAGGCCCCTTCGGTTGCACCAGCACACGTTGCTTTTGTTCCAGGAGCAGATCAAGCCCGCTGAAGGAAGCTGGTGGGAGTGGGTGATTGCTTTGCTGCTTTGTGTTGTATTACGCGGAAGAATTACTAGCCTTAGCATACTTTCCTGCGGCTCAGGTAACTGCAGGGCCTGTGGAACTTGTTCCATTCCATGGAGAGAAGCAGGCGGGGGCATGCAGTGGCCTCCTAATGCATCGAGTGCAACACCCCCCTCCCCAAAAGCAAGACAGTTGCTGGGGAGCAGCCTGGAAAGATCAGCGGCCCTTTGAGTGGCCCTCGTGGTGACCCCCGGACCGCCGCAGCCTTCATGCTCAGACCGCAGGCCTTCTGGTCCCAGCCTTCCTGGAACTTGCTGGAGCCGGAGCCTTTAATCAGCCCGACTGGTAGGGCTGGCCTGGGAAAAGCATCCTCGGGGGCTGGGTGTGCAGGGACTTAGGCGCCCCAGACCTCTGCCAGGCCCTGCGCTGTCGCTCTTAACGTCCACGAGTTGATTCTTACGAAAAGCTACTCTAAACCCCTGCCTGCCTTTTCCCTCAGTGCCCGGAGCTTGTGGTCCGCTTCTCGCTGTGGGCGTTGTTGCTCTTCCCTCTTGGGGGCTGGAGGCGTAGGACTGGTTTGGGGGGGGGGTTGATTAGGGGTGTGCCTGTGCTTGTGCCCGTGCCCATGCCCTCCTCAGGCTTGCCTTTCTCCTGACTGCCTTCCCCTCACCGTGCCCCCCCGGAAGAACGGACCTAATGGGCAAGCGAGCGCGGCTGTCTTAGGAGGTGGCCTGCTCTCCTCCCCACCCCAGGCTGGAGCAGAGGGGAGTTCTTCCCTTTGTCACCGCACTGTAGGCCTTCCGATTGCCTTGACCCCAGCCCCAGCACTGATGGCTGCTGTTGCCACAATTCGTTAGAGGAGCCGAGCCCTCCGGTTGTTTCCAAAAACGCTAAATGGGTGCTTCCGTCTCCTCTCTTGTCGGAGGACACCAGTGGTCGGGCTCAGGACTTGCTTTTCAAAAAATCAAGGGAACTTTGAAGAAGGCCCAAAATGCCAGTGCTTGTTCTGTGCTGTGACTGGATTTCAATTCCTTCCCTTTGTAGCAATAGGGAAGTTCCCTCCCCTCGTGTTTGGCTCTGCGGCGGTAACTTTTCTTCTCAGCTCAAGACTCTCCTGTTTCCAGGCACACTTTGAATGTGGAAAGTAACTGTCTCGATCTGCTTTGTAGCCCCAACAGCTGTAACTGCACCAAAGATGTGGAAGAAACCAAAAGAACGGAGCCAGGCGGCCGAGGAGGGGCTGGAGGCGGAGCCTGAGGTAAAGGCAGCAGGGGGCCACTGTTGGCGCTGTGGGGCAGGATTTCTAAGGGGGCGCTCACCTTTCAAGGAAATGTGCTTGGACGGGCCTCCCTGGTGTAAATCTGCTCAACTTGAGCGGCTTCCTCTCACCAAGGGATTGATCGGGTGGGGGGAGGCGAGGAAGTGCTCAAATCAGCGTGGATGAGGGGTTGGACGGGATGGGTCTGGCCCCCTCCCTCCCCCCCCCGAATCTTGGGAATCGAGGGCTTCCAGAGGCTTCAGGGCTGTTCTGAGATGCCAGAAGCCTTCCCAGCTGTCTGCGATCTGGGGGGAACCTTACTGTGGCCTTTGTGGAGAGGGGCTGCTGTGCCTCTTACCTGCACCCCTGGCAGAGGAGTGGATAATTCTGGCCTTGCTTCTGCTTCAGCCTAAGGTGGAAGAGGACCTTGGAGGGGACCGAATACTTGAACCCGAGCAAGAGGCCATGAGCCTTGGGAGGGCCTCTCCTTCCAGCCTGAAAATAGCAAAAGTGACGGAAGAAAACGGCGAGCAGGAGGGAGACTCTCTCCGTAACGGTGCTGAGGGTGTTTCCGAGAAGGAAGAAGGTTGCACGGAGAGTGCCAGCGAAGCCCCAGCCCTCCCGTATAAACCAGGTATCCCCCACCCCTGGTCTGGTTTCTGAGCTCAGAGGGTGGAACTCCCCAGGCAGCCCCTCTTCTCCCCCCGCACCTCATGGCAACAAAGAGACCAGCATATTCCCGCGCCTTAACTTTTGAGGGCCAGGCCTGTACTTTCAGAGAGTCTCGCGGACTTGTGAAGGGAATGGCTGTTTTCCTCTTTATGGCCCCCTGGCCACCGTGTCCTGCTGCTGCTCCTCCACCCACCTCCATTCCAGCTCCTCTGAACAGATTTAGACTTTTGGGGGTTGGTGGGGGTTCTCCATTTCAGATAAACCCAGTTGGGCCCTTCTCTTCAGCAGCATCTCCGATCTTTTCCTAATTATAAAACAATAACAGTTGTCGGCATTTGCCAACAGCTGGCAATAAGAGTGAAGTGGTTTCATTACCCCTCTGCTGCTCTTCTATCCACCTGAATGGTCTTGTCCCCCGCTTTTGCCCAGAGCTTTCAGCCCCCCTCACCCCATTCCAGAGAGGCAGGCTTGGCTGTAGGTGATGGAAGGCCTGAGCAGGGAGGATTCTGGAAGGGAGCTTCAAGGTTACAGGGAGGGGGAGTGACCTTCCAAGCATCTCCTCAGCCCCCAGCCGGGCTGTGTGAAAGTGAGGAGGAAGAGACCGGCCCCTCCCTGAGGGGTTCAGGGTTATAGTTGCTCTCGC